CTTCTCACTTACATCCAACCCCAACCTCAAACAAGGGAAAGTACACGAATAACGAGTGAAATAAATGGAGCAGTGAGCAACGGTGGGGAGCTATTACCGAATGAAAAGTTGGAGTTATTCTGGATGAAACCACCAATAAGATATGACGACCTGGGATCAAGCGAATCTCTCTATTTCATCCACTGATTGTGAAATTGTGATTGCGAGTATAAATTCTGACCCCCTCGACATCATAGACAGCCAACCGTCTCCACTAACCTCTTCTCCCATGCCTGATATTTACAAATGAAAGGAATTGCACGAGTTTTCTTAAATGGTGCCCATTTGACTAGGGATATTGTGACAGCCTTTAGTGCATTTCTCATGCTCGCCCTATATGCAGCTCTTGAGATGGAGTCTACGGGAATGATTTGCTTGCTTTTCGGATATATTCTCGAGGAGAGTAGACAATTCTGCCAAAGTTATCAAACGTGGCTTTTGTACACAACGGGGTAAGTTTCTCTCTCCAACATCCGGCTGACTCGACTCAATCGTCCTCGGTTACTGTAAATTAGTTTCTATTCCTCCTCCCTCAAGATCCCAGTCAAGAAGGGGCTACAGAAAAGAAAGCGGAATGAATGAAGGCTGATGGGAAAGGGTGTTGGATGGTTCCGTTCGGATTAAAAAGATTGATTTAGAGTCACATAGGACGAAGGAAATGACGCCGTTGATTTGATTGGAAGCCGGGACTAGGAGAAAGCAGAGTGGCGATAGTGGTGGTGAATATGCTGTCCCTTCACTCGTGAAAATGGTACAAAGAGAAAGCAAAATTACTTTAGAGGTGAGTGAGCGAGTCGGATTGTTTAATTGCCAGCAATAAAATGGAAGAATGAACAGTTTTTAATTCAAAAACCATCTCTTTACACTCAAATATTGATTTTTCCATTCTTCTTTCAACAAACCATAACAGATGTGTTGATGAAAAAAGGAGAAAGTGTCTTGTGGGCAGTGGTCATTTTAAATGGTCATAAAATATGATACAGAAATATGAAATAAAAACGAGCTGGATCTACCATCATACCCAAAAATTACATCACGGCATTACTTCCATATGCATATCAAGTCTGTATATGTCTAACCCATGGCAAATATGCATATGCATGCAGCCATATGTATTTAGTTAGATCCTTGAGCTATTGAATGGCTTGGGGGTATTTGAAGTTTAGAATTTGTAATAAAAGTCATGGACCTCAAACCGTAATATTTTGTTTGTCCATGAGAAACTTATTCCACTTCACTGTCGCACATGCAGCTCTTTTAGGGCTGAATCTGGGGCTGCTGGCATAAAAAGAGAGCATCCACTGCTGCCTTATTGTATTTTGGATAAGTAAAAGCGCGTTGCTTTGCTACACTGAGCGTTGGGGGAGAAAGCTGCTACGGACGGGAGGAGGCAGACCAAGATTTTGAAGAGATAAAGCAATAAGAGGTCGGAAGAGTGATGGTGGGAGAGAATAATAAAGACGGGAGAAGTGCTTATGTTTTTATTATTAGGCTTATCGAGTGAAGATTCTTCCACTTCTCAAGTTTATTTAGGTAGATCCACTTGTTTACCTTGAGGTTGCTTATTCTACTTGCCCTCCTTTCATCCTATTATTTGACTCGACATTCACTCACCTCACTCACTACACACACATTATTCCCTAGCTCACTCTTGAGACCTCACGAGTGTATTAAATCTACCAAATGTTAATGAACTGGAGAGACTTAATTGAATCAAGGATCACAGTTGCAAAATTTATGCTACCAGATTATGGTATCACTTTATAATGTCCTGATAATAGCAAACAATTAAATCAATTATATATTTCAAGCTAAACAACTAAAGTTCATGCCACCTTATTACTCTTTATATTCTACAAGTCGTTGTGCTACGTACACAATTTCGATGATGTAATATATGAGATACATATTCTCCTGCAAAATCCAACTCGATGGCTTCCTACAATTTATATGTTCCGAAAAAATAAAGTTTTAATAATTGAGATAATTCTTAGGCATGGTCCCCGAGGAGAAAGCTGTAAAGTGGCCACAATTAGAAAAGACGGAGCAATTCTCTGCTCCAATAAAAAGATTAGAATAATGGAGTAAAGTGCAGAATGAAAATCTGAACAAGCAATTAAGTGAGGTAATAATAATACGAGATGCGTATGAAGTTGAAGGAATGTTGGCGGCGGCTGCTACCCAGACCAGACCAAAGACAAGGAAAGAAGCGGCATCCCAACAGGAAGAGACCACAGACAAACCACGGCACCACTTTCACCACTTGCACTCTCTCTCATTACATGAAATCAGATAAGTACAAGTTGGGGAGGATGGAAGATTCAAGAAGAGGGAAACAGTCAGCTCGAGAGATATGCACCCGGTTTTCTTTCATCAGTTCAAACGGAGGAATAAACGGGAGAACAAGCGAACCGGGACAGTCGTGGTGATGTAACAAACAGCCAGAGAGATCCACTCGGAGAGACAATGGAAACTTTTGGGGAGCGAGGGATTTCAGGATGATAGAAGCTCGCCTCCTTCTTCTTGATGAAGTTCCGGTTCCAACATCACCATCACCACCACCATCACCACCTTGCAACAATGACCAGTTTAACCCATTAGGGGTTAAACTCAGATTCGGATACTAAGCGAAATATGCAAAGTCGATATGAGCAAACGGAAGAAGAGAGCAACGTGATGGGAGAGTCGCAATTTACCGTCAGGTAAACTACACACCACAAAGTTGCACCCTCTTAAATTAGTTGATGCTAATGCATTTCGTGGGGATTGGGAAAGAAAGTGAAAAAGGAAGATAATCCCAACTTCAGAGTTCCGTTGAAAAGGATTAAATCTACTTCCAGTATTTCGTCCTAGGTGCACAATTTCCGCACTTTTTTCATAAATTGTTGCGAATCTAGGTTTCCGTCGGATTTGTAAAAAATTATCGGATTTAAAAGAGCAGCAAGTGCATGGTCTGCTCAATCACAAGTTAAAATTCAGGAGATACTGGAAAGTTTAGTAATATCAAATAGTGTTATGCCATCCATATCTAACTATAAGTAGGTTATGACCTTTTACAACGTAGTTAATTCCTTCGCCTGAATTAAAATTAGTGCGTATGTGTCCCTGTGATTTTTCTCGCAGAAAACATATTTAACATGTCTGCATTAAATAAACCTGGTTTCGTTTTCAATTGTCCCCGGTAGAATACAAAAAAGGCAACTTAATGTTCAATAAATGGTCATCGTCTTCTTAAGCTTTGGAGTGAGTGAGGGAAGCTTGGAATTTCAGAACCCCATCGAGAGACGGCGATTTGCTATAGGAAGGAAGAATAGTTGAATAATGGGAACTTCCGACGTTTCATTCACAATTTCAACCCTGCTTGAGAACAATCCCCAGAGCAGAAATGAATTGAGGGAGTTAATAATGCAAGAATAAGGGGGAGGCTGGCTTGGTGTAAGTCGGTGCATGCAATGTGGTTTAGGGGTGCTTTGGTTTGCTCGAGTTTGGTCTTTTGTCAAGATTTACATCATGACATGGCTCGAGGGGTGATTTGATTGGATTTTTTAGAATGCGGAATAATAACCACACAGTCAGAGTTGATATGGGTGCAGTTACTTAATTATGCAGGAGATGCAGTCCTTCTCATTCTAATCATGGTCCGGAAGAGTAAAAACTAAACCAATGACGAGGAAGTAAAGATTTAATGGTGTGCTGGAAGGATACTTATAATAATATGGGATTATTTTTACAACCCTAATTTTGCTCGGGATGAAAGGGCTTTAGATAATTCGGAAAAAATTGTTGGATCGTGCGACGATTTGTAAAGATATCGATGGATCCCTTTTTTTGAAGCTTTTACATGCACTTGTTTTGCTAAAAATTGTCCAGTTAAAGCTCATTTATCTAAAAATAAGTGTTACGAGTTTTGTTTGTAAATTGTAATTTAAAATCACGTGCAAAATAAATTTGCATTATTAGCTCACCCTGCGTAGCATGAGAGCTATTGAATTCCTCTTGTCCGTCTGTCTGTCTGTCTGTTCACGAGTTTTTTGCATCAATTGATGCTAATTAATAAGTCCCAAGACCATTTTAACCCTAATTTGTAGCACAATTGGTATAAAAAAATCGTTAACGCAAAATGGTGCGAAATAATTGGAGGAATCGATGTATTCTGCACGAATGATTAGGATTAACTGAAAGTTCTAGTTAGCTTTGGCTGACTTAACTTAACCTCGAAATCGTGTCAAAATTTAGTCCCAATTTTAACCATTTCGGCTGCACCATTGGTGCAATTTTATATCGAATTTCTTTTATTTCCCGGACCACTGGTGCAAAATTCTATAAAAATTATGTATCAATTTTGTACGTTTTTTTGTGCACCTTAGATGCTAAGTTATGTATAACCAAATAACAATTCCAGGGTGAGCTACTTCTAACGTTACTACGGTTTATTTCAGCTATTTAAAGGGTCACAATGAAATGTAAGGAACCAAATCGACGGGAAATCAGAACAAAATAAATGTAAAGTTTTATATGTAATTACATGAGTGCACTAGTGCATCCTGTTTGCATTCTACGATTAGATGCACTATTTGGTTTACTTTCTTTGCACTTTGTGTCTAAAGTTTAACCAACTCGGGTAAAAGTACAAGACATTTTTCGTGTTACAAACGATGGCCATAAACTGTGGCAGTCAGTCGTTCGGTGTTTATATTTAGTGTGTACATATGGAACCAAACAACCAACGATATTACCCAATAATGCAACGACGATTCACATTATTCGGTTCACATTGCACGGCAAATCCTAATGAGCTTTGCATACACAGTTAACCTGGATCTATCGATTGATAAATGAAATTTTAATTTCATTTTAATCAACGCAAAATTCAAGAGAACCGGAGATAGCGAAATATACCTTGAAGACACTACATTCATGTATAACGATTTCCGCCCAGATTTCAATAAAATTAGGCTTACCAGAAATGGAGTGTCCAACGCATAAGCTCAACACGAGGAACGAGGTGCAGGTGACAGTCAAGAAGGTGGAAAGTCGTCGTCGCTTTCTCCGACACCGATGATCGACAAACACTTGACGATTACTCATTGTCACGTTTTGATTGTTTGAAGACAAATGATGCATCATATTGTTTGCTCTTTGGTTCAACTCGCTTGTCCTTCGTACACAATCTCACGAGGAAATTTTGTCCGAGAGTCGTCTCTCTCTTCTCTCTCTTACACAGCCACTCGTCTTGAAGAGAAGACACTTTAGTCAACAGATGCTAATTTCACTTAAGAACAAGTCAACTCTGTTCATTCAACTATTTAATAACAATTACGTGCAACAATAGCATAGCTTCTTGACGTATGCCCAATGGTTTTGGTTGCTTGGAGTTATATGTAGTCGTCCCAGTAATATCCCAATTTGGTAGTAAATATTTACATGAAGAATCAAACTACATTAATTGATTTCTCAAAGTTTGTAATCATTGAAAAGTCCAAAATAGTAGTACAGATCCCAAATTTAGTTCAGGCCTTTGTGCTTCTGAGACACTGCTGACCTAAATAAATATGCAAAAACATTCATATATTTAAACACTGTTAGTATAATGGTTACTGAATAACTCAAATGTCTTCCCATCAAACACTTTTGACTTTCTTATCAAAATCATGAATAAATGAAGAAAAAAATTTCAAGTTTCTGAACGATCAGCAAAACTTATATGGTTCGACTTAAACCTTATTTTCATTATTTCCTGTCTGAAAAATACAGTTGCATTCTAAGGAATAAAGTAATAACCCGGAAAATCACCGCAGTATTCGTTTCATTTCCGTCTTACGAATCTTCTTCCACTTTCACTCACACATTCGCTCACCACCCTCGCAGTCACGAGTCGTAACAATGCTGGTAGAATTTCCCAACTTTCCACCTTTGAATTCACAATAAGTATTGAAAAGACGTGGTCTTCATTCGATGCACATTACAAGAAATGAATACTAAGCTATGGATCACCCTGATCGGTGAGTGAAAGTCAAAGGGGTGAAAGTTGGGGTAATATGATACCAAACTGGAATTAATTCTCAGTCATAGCCAAACCACTGTTTTCGTTAAGAATGACACACTGGTGCAATTAAAACAAATTAGTTGGAATGCTAACCAAAACAATTAAGATATCAAGATTAATTAAGAGCCTTTAGCATCTTGACAGAGGAGTGAGAATATGTAAAGTAAAGAGAAAGAAATTCCTGGCCTGTGTTGGAATCTGCCTTTCTAACTCAACTTTCTTACCCGTGGTTGCAGCCGTGGTGTTCTTGAGAAGCTTGGAATCCGACAAAGGTCTGTGTTGACGAATTGGAGTAGTAGCAGAGAGTTTGGATGTATTTAATAATGAGATTTCAGCGTATGAGGAGCAGCAACCCTCCTTCACGTCTTTCGGATGGATGGGTGTGATGTGAGATGGTGGAAGTCGTGGTGGAAGAGAAACTGAACGTGGAGATGGTCCAGTCGACAGTGACTTGGTTTCAGAGACCGAGGTTGGAGCAGAGGCAAAACCTTCCCCTTAGCGTCGCTGGTGCTTCAGAACCTTTTCCACTGCTCGTGGTGGTGGGATGCGAAGGATGGTGGTGTTGGATGCCCGGGTGATTTCACAAACAGCTCCTCGTGCGTTGAAAGATGCAGCCGTCCTTTCGTCGTCGCACCCCCGCCCGCCTGCAGATCATCACTCTCTGGGTGCAGCAGTGTGCATCGCTTTCTTTCCACGCACTCCTCTGATATCACTGCTGCTCGGCATGTTGGCCTAATGACTGCAACCAATATGTCCTTGTGCCGCCTGCTAATTACAATTTTATCCAAATCAAGCCAAAACTTCACTTAACAGAAACAGGGAGAAAGCAATGCTAATTATGGATAATTTTTAAAATAAAATTTCAGATTTCACTACTTGTCCGCATATTTATTATTATTATGCATACGTGTCCTTGGTCAGTCACTTTCGATTTTACTGAACTCAAAAATTTGCCATCTTAATTTAAAATAGTGTTGGACAACTGGATTCAAATTCCAGCCAAGAATTCTGTTTGTTGCATGCAGGACATCGGGAGCATAAGGTCGTGCGTGCACCAGTTGGTAAGTTATAGTTGGGAAGGAGGAAATGAAAAGTGAAAAGGGGAAGACGAGAAAGGGAGGACATTGTAAGAAGAATGGAGAGAGGAGCACATTGATTCTTTCTGAAAACCGTGTTCGCAAGGTCTCTGCAACCAATCAACATAAGCCTTTTAAGTACTATTCAACTCTTCCGAAACACCGATTGTCTTCACTCCAGATTCAAATTACTCGACTTTTGCTTCAATTTACATAAAACCTCCAGAAGTAGTGCGGCCCGGGTTCTCTTGGGTATGCATTCACAAACAGTAGATAAAGCTTCATATGCACTTCTTATGAACGTGCTTATGATTTTAGCTACTAATAGCAATAACTAGAATTTGAAGTAAAAATAATTTGTATTATCAAATAATACAAATTTTGTATTTAAGTAAATTAAACTGTTTTACAACTGAAAGATTGATTGTCATGCAATCAAATGTAGTAGACATGTAGTTAGACATACATATGCACATGTATACATATATACAGTGTCGGACAGATCTCTACATAGTCGCGTCAATTTCATTTTCAAATTGTCACTGAACTACTGAACCAATTTTCATCATTGATATATCTAATTCTCACAAATTTAACGTAATTTCATAAAACATATGAGTTATTTCTGAAAATTCTGGGAAAACTGAGAATCATAGTGCAGAGCGAGAGAGGATGAAATTTGAGCGGACAAAAGTCTACGTCCACTTCACTTTAATTGTCAACAACAAAAATCTCTCCAATTTATAAAATCAGGTAACTTAATAAATCTATCAATAACATATGCCGCATTAATTTTTAAATAATTTTCTTCCAGAAAAATATGATGGCGTCGACACGCAAGGAAATTCCTATCGCTATTCGAGATCTTGTCATTCAGGACTGGAAGGGTGGACAAAAAGGGGGGCTGTCGCAGAGACAAATAGGGACCAAGTATAAATTAGCAAGGACAACCATCCAGACAATCATTAAGAACTTTAGAGCTAATGGTTCAGTCCAAAACAAGGTCAGAAGTGGTCGAAAACCGATTTTGGCTCACCGAGAAGTACGCCACGTGCTCAACAAAGTCAACGTTACACCCTCACTTAGTGCTCCAAAGCTATCTACCGAGATCAAGGAGATGTTCGACAAACAAGTTAGTCCTAGGACCATCCAAAGAACACTGAACAAGGGAAATTTGAAATCCCACAGAGCAGTCCGGAAGCCTCTTATTGTACCGAGGAATGCAACCAAACGAGTGAAGTTTGCCAGAGACCACATTTCCAAGCCACAAACATTCTGGGACAGTATTTTATGGACTGACGAGTCAAAGTTCAATGTCTTTGGGTCAGATGGGCGTCGTAGAGTGTGGAGATATCCAAAAGAAGCATTGAATCCAAAAAATCTCAACCCCACAGTTAAGCACGGCGGCGGGTCGGTAATGGTGTGGGGATGCATGGCTTCAAGTGGGGCAGGAAAAATGGAATTTGTTGACGGAATTATGGACCAATACAAGTACCAGGGAATACTTGACCGTAATATCCAGGAATCTGTTCGAAAACTTGGACTTGGACGACGATTTGTCTTCCAACAAGACAACGATCCGAAACACTCTGCCAAGTCCACCATGGAATACTTCAAGAAAAAAAATTTCGAAGCTAGAATGGCCTCCCCAATCTCCAGACTTGAATCCCATTGAGCATCTGTGGGACCACATTGAAAGAGAAATAAGAAAACAATCTTTTTCAGGAATTCCGGGCCTAAAATCCAGAATTCTTGAAGTTTGGGAAACCATTTCTGAAGATGTGACCAAGAATTTGGTAAACTCTATGACTCGACGCCTTGAATCCGTCCTTAAAGCGAACGGAGGCCCAACCAAATATTAAAAATTAATTGTTATAACATTCCTTATAAATTACAGTTTTTTTTGTATGTTTTCTCTGACTGGACGTTGACTTTTGTCCATCCAATTGTTTTCATTTTGAATTAAAATACATCTCTGGCCTAAAATAAATTTTTTAGCGGAAAACTAATAATGTGCTATGAAATTACGTTAAATTTGTGAGAATTTGATATATCAATGATGAAAATTGGTTCAGTAGTTCAGTGACAATTTGAAAATGAAATTGACGCGACTATGTGGACGTAGACATCTGTCCGACACTGTATGGCATATGTACATACGTATCCATAATGTCATGAATCGAATATCAGGATATTTGCTTAATTGAGTAGTGAACATGTGGATTGCAAACAGTTTTCCCCACTATTATGGGCAAAGGTGTGCTGTGTACGTATATCATGTGTTTGCATATTCAATTGATTGAAAATTCATTAGCCAAGCGAGCTACTGATTAGTGTTCATGAATTGTAATCCGAGCCGAAATTGGTGTGTTCCTTTTGCCGAACGCGTTAGGTTACATGTAATGCCTGTCATCTGATCGACGTCTTGTTGGCTTCAACTAATCCAAACAGTGCTGGGTCAATTTGTCCTCCTAATGTTGGACACGCAAAGAGAACAGTGAAAAGTGACAAGTGTGTCGACAGCTGAAGGAGAAGAGACCTTTTGCTCAAAAGACCAAAACTATTATCCAACCAACTTTTATTACTCGTCTCCTCAGCCAAGGTCTCGAATGACTCTGCGAGTTGTGAGCTACTACATCCACAATTACGGTATCTGGTAAATAATGTTTGTCTGCTGCTTTCGCGTGCCAACCTCAATGCTGAGTTTGTCATGCATACAATACTTGCTACACATATAAATATGTATGAAGGACAATTCAATTAAATTCAATTCAATTAAATTCAACCTTTATTCGAGTGTTAATGGATATCAGTTTGCAAAAAAACATGGTTTGAAACATGGTTTGAAAACCATAAGGCTATAATCAATACATCTATAAATCAGGACAATAATCAACGAACGCACTAGTATGATTATTAGAACTGCTACAGTGTTTAGAATTATTGCCATACATTTACAAATGTAATTGTAATGCAGTCTTGTAGTAATTATTTACTTACAAATACAAGTTTACAATTTGGTAATCGGCAGAGTAGGGACAGACATTGGGTTGCAAATAATTTGTACAACAGCCACTGCATTAATTGGGTCGTCCTTGTACCCAATTGGTTCTTTTTCAATTATCTCTCATAAATTCTCGGCATGGAATCGTTTCTTTATCCGACGACGTCTTTGGGTTGGATTTCTTCAGCTGGAAGGTGCACAAGAAATGGCGGTTGTCCCAACTTGCACTTATGCGTAAGTAATGCTGGGGAAAGCGTTACATGTTTTCATGGCACAGCAGCATTCCTTTCGTTTCGCAATGCATTTAAAACCTCCGCATTTCTATTTGACACCCAGCTACAAGCACTGACACCAAGGCATCCATAGTGCATGACTAGGAAACAGTGCACGAAATGTTTGATGATGCCTTTGTAAGTATATAGAGGCTGCTGCAGCAGAGCATAAGCCGGGAAGTCTTCACTGATCTGTTCGGATTTTAAAATTCGAGTCAAGTAGGAACTTGTTAGACTCGTTCCTCCATTCTCTTTACGCATGATGCTTTATCGAGAAGGACAGCCAGTTCAGCTGCCTTTTGAATAATGATTCCCTTCTCTCCTTTCTCCTGATCTTAAGAAAATGCGGAACAATCTAAAAAACTATCCAACTTTTTCGGAAAGTGTGTAGCTTGAAGGTAATAATACAATTAGTTATAAATAACACACAACAGATATACAGAATACAAATGCATTACGCAAGTATTCATTCGTCTATTTGGAAAAATAAGTGAAGCAATCCTATTTAGTAGACATGTACTGACTGGTTAGAGTGGTTACGCAGAAATGCAGTAGCTCACCTCAACTGACAATGATTGACATTGCAATGATTCTGATTAAAATATTGTCGCGTTATTTCTTCCTCTTCGAAATACTGCTGGGAACATTGTTTCCGTTCCGTCCTATTGTTGGGTGCGACTGGTGGTGGTAAGGTCATTAACGTCTTGGGATTGAGAGAAAGAGGCTGAATGCACTTTCATTCTTTGGATTCGTCATGCTGCAACTGGGTTTCCCTTCTCCCACCCACCAACCAACAACCCAGATGACAACAGCTCCGATAGAAATGTCAAAAATGATTCATTACTTGGACACAGAAGGCGTCTAACATGAATCCAACGCACTTCCATAATGTACAGGAGAAAGTCGGGTTGTGCCTTCAGCCCTTGATTCTTCTTGGGAAGCGCACCAGAGTGAATGTGGAACTGCTTGTAATGCCCTCCCAGTAAAATTTCCATTGATATTAACATTTTGTTTTGCCCCTGCGAGCAAAGGAAGAATTCTTTGGTATTTATTTATTTGCCTCAAACAGGAAACCAACACTTGTATTTTGTGTGACTACATACATATGTATGTATAAATTCATGTGTACGTACATGTGTACGTACATAGGATCGGATTGAAATATCCAAGATTTGGCAGAATGTACAGTGAAAATGCACGAATTCTCCACTCTACTCCCAAATTTCTTGTTCGGATTGAATGGGAAATGTTTACAAGAATTCTCCAAGTTGGAGACACTGCTGCTCTCATCTAATTGCATCCTCTTTGTTGAATTAGCTTATGATTGAGAAATATGGGCGTCGTTACGTTGTGTCGTTCAAGAATGGAGCTGCAGTTTAATCAGATTTCGAACCCTGATTTCCAAATGTCTGTCTCTGACTGAGCGGGTTGAATGTGGCAGAAGACAATTTACGCTTCAACTTTACGCTAACTTTCACCAGTTAATGTTTATCCGCACACATTTATCTTGTAATTCACACTTAATGCAATTGAAACTTTTGCAAATTGAATCGTAAAGAATTACTTCTTACTCATACAATTATTCGAAGCATTACTTGTTAAGGACTACATCTAAACTTGGATTTTTGTCAGGAAATGTATGCATACAAAATCAATTGTTTATCCGCATACTTTGAAGTGAATTTCATTAAAAATCTCATTATAAATCATCTCTAATTATAAATCGTATGCCAATGCTAATAATAACAAAGTTCTGTGAAGCCACATTTTAGACATGGACTGCCTATTTTTAAGTTTTTATGGATACCTGTTTCTCTTATCCATCTTCAATGGAGAATCTCGCAGCAGCCTCTTTTCCCTCTCCAAATGCTCCACTAAACTATAAACTGCTCTTCTTGGGTGGCTGAACTATTCTGTCAATGTCAAGAAGCCGAATTTCATAGAAACACGAAACACAGATGCATATGACATTTGACAAGAGAAAGTGAAATCAGAATGGAAATGGAGAGAGCTCAATCCTATAAACCGTGAAGGAGCTCGATATTTATGTTAACCTGCCTGAATTGGAATACATAATATACACACATATTATGTAACAACGATGGAATAATGGTGCACTACGTCATGTAGAATGAGACTGCATCTGTACGTATGTAAATATCTTAGATAAGTATTTATTCATATTCTGTACTTCCAACTTCTGGCGCTTGAGCCTTAGTTTCTAAAAAAATATTATCACGCGGTAGAGGGACGAAAGAAAAATAATAATTTTCTTTAACAAGAATATTATTAGATCTATTGTACGTGTGCATATTTATTTATGTGTGTATAGCAGTATAGCCAGTTGTCGTTGTATTTAATTGAAAGAGTCCAGACGACCAATGACCAGGTTCGATCACTACCCTTGGTTCGATCCGTTAAGATTGAATTTGTTGCACCGCTCAAGTTTAGCAGTTCAGAAAAGTAGAAAATGTCGATGTCAAAATGATGTTCAATAGTTGACATTTGTGTGCATTTTTAGTCAACTAGTATGTACATACATCTAGACATATGCACAGAAAGCTGATTGTAAGGAGAAGAATTCGAAGGGGAAATATGTTATGCGTTTTGCGAATTGACATGTTAACCTGCTGCGATACAAATCAACGAAGGAATTCTACGACTGTCATAATCGACTTGTCAACCAAGCAACTAACATGCTTGCAACTTGATATATACATGGTCGGTACTTTCTCCTGCAAGAAATAAGGGTGATATCTACGTCGCGTTATGTTTCGGGGAATGTTGAGAAACAAGCAAACCAACATGCTTGACAAGGTTACGAATGTATCTATAGATATTCACATGCCGACGACAAGTGTAGTTGAATTATTCACAACAATCATGCATGAAAGACCCTCCATAACATTATGAAATGAATTAAATTGAAACCTAAGTTGCCACTCATCTACAAGTAACAATTAATGCAAGACATTTACAAATGACTAATGTCACAATCACACATCAGTTGCAACCCTAATCTCTCAAAAACACCAACTGGTTCTTGAACCAATTGCGTCAAGTTTTATGTTATAGTTTCAATTTTGAAAAAGTGATGGTAAAGCGAAACACATTTATTGCGTCATGTATGTAAACAAGTCGGTAGAAGGGCTCGTCTCATTCATTACTAAGCTCAATATGCGAGTTTGAATTTTTTGCATCTCTACGAGGTTACAGATACATCCATGAATCTTTAAATCACAAGTCAGATTTTGTATGTACATATCTAGACGTGGGTCAGAGATAAAAGTTATCAAATGCACATTATAAATTGAAGCCGTAAACCCTCGAGGTTTCAGCTTGACGGAGTTTGTTGATTTGAATTGGAATAAACCAACCCCCGGAGACATTAATGGATGGGGATTGAAGTTTGATTTGATAGAAAGGAGCTCGGAATGACACTCACATTGATTTTGTGTTACATTTCACCCTTCTCATTTCAATTCTGCCTTGTCGGCCTTCTCAAACCCAAGACGTCGGTGTATGTCGACTTTTAATCCGATGACCGGATAAATATGGAATCTCGAATCAAATCATTTGAACTATACGACTACGGATGAAGCACACATTTTTATAAAACAGGAGGAGGGTTGTATCATTTACTTCGTTTTTAAGCATATTAGTAATAGTTAGCACGCTGTAGAGTTTTTTTTACTTACATTGGAAAGTTTATTGATATATTGAGCTCATATATGTGCAGAGATACGTACACTTATGTATATATATATTCTTCTGTATACTTATATATATATTCCTCTATATTTAACAATACGATTTGTACTTTATGGTAATGGTGGACCCCAAATATCATTGGTAACATTGCATGGCAATTAATAGAGGATATTACATTATGAAATGTAGTCTGACAAATATATGACAAGATGAACAGTATTAAAAGCAACCAATGGCACAATTAAATTATCAATTTGGGAAGTTAAAGCCTCAACAACTGCATTCACAATTGAACTGATGCACAAGGCAACCAGAGATACAGTGGTATACGGAAGGTATCCTGGAAAAGAAAAAAGTTATAGTGAGCAAAATAAGCTATAACACGAGAAATAACTTAGCAGACTACAAATACAATAGAATTGCATATTGCTTACCACTCCAGCAAAGATATCCAACTGTTACAATTTGAGCAGCAATAGAACTGAGCGTTCCTTCAACTGTTTTACGAGATCCTGCAACCCGATGCGCAATATATAATTTAAACTACATTACTGCACAATAAAATAATTAAAGCGTACCTGGCCAATGAAGTTTACCATATATTGATCCCACTACGCTGGCAACGGTATCACCAACTCCTACACTTAAAATCCCTGTTATGGCAGCTGCAATTGCAAAGTTATTAGTAGTTTTACTACGAATTATAAATGGACCAATCCACCCCTTCAATCATTCTTGCACAAATATTCACTACAACCTTGGGCAGTTGCATAGTAGATTTATTCGCAGTTATGTATATGTACGTACCGGCCAATTCTTCTGGAGTTCTGTTATCATTGTTACTTGAGGAATTTCCCAAATATATTCCAGTTAACCAAATTGGGGCAGAACAACCAGCCAGAAGATATATTGGGGTCAGGAGAAGTGGGCCACTATCCCTAGCATCTCGAAAGTTAGAGACGCCACTGTTGATAAAAGCTCCTACTCGATATCCGAGAAATTCAAACTTTAATACTCGAATAGCCTTAAATTGTAAATGAACATCCAAATTAAATTCGTATTTTTTAAAATAGTACGTAATATAATTATTTCTTATACCTCAGCTATTACAAAAGCGTACATTACAACTGTACTACATAGAAATATAAAATTGAGATCATTGAGTACAGCTGGAAAATATACGAAGCACATCAAAATATGAAAGAATTTCCTATGCACTGTAGTCGTTTCTTGGCCCATAGTGCTGAGGACGAAACCCATTGTTACTGCTAAAAATGTGACCCAAAGTGCTATAGATGCAAGCTAAAAAGTATTTAAAAAATCTTCTTAGAGTATAATTATGATAGGTGACGATAATTAATTGCTTGCTGTGCGTGCTTCTTACGTGACGGGTATCCAGTATCAAGTAGCTCACCAACCAGTTCAAAATAAATACCAAGTCTTCATATGTATTTTGCAGTTTTCCTAAAAAGTTTACAAATGCTGCCTTCGTACACAACGTGAAGCATTCTTGTAGAGCAAAAACCTTGTGAGGTTTCATATAAAATAGAATCCCTCGAGCTACGAGGATTGTCACGAGGAATCCCAGCTGAATGTTAAAAAACAAGTCGTAATTAGTAATTAATTTGTTTTGTATTTAACATATAGTAGGTAAATTTAGCTTGATGGAATTCCGTCTACCTCCTGAACAATCGATATCATCATTGGATCGGAAACCGCTTTCTTGTTTATTTCGGCAAACTTATTTTGAATAATATTATGAAATGATGCCCAATAGTTGTACACAAATACGGAAGTTACAATAACTCCTTCTCCAAAACTGAAGCTGAAGGGATAATACAGCACCACGTTTATAAAGACATAAGGAAACGAGAAATTTAGCCCCGCCCACAACGCATATTCGTAAACATTATCTGAGAAATATAAAACACTTGTTAAATTATGAAAACTTGGCATAAAGAATTTGAGATAAAGTTTATGTTAGGATTACTTTTGTTTGTATGCCAGTGTAAAAAACTTCCGTATCCAATGCTGAGAAGAGCCATGATCAAATTTAAACCTTTCAGATATTCCAGAAATTCTCTCATACGCTGTTGTCCCAGATTGTGAGAGAAGATCAAGACCAGAGAGTTGTACCCGATGATTGTCACTATATGCATATATTTTTTATTAAGCAATAACAAAAATCTGAATGATAAATATATAATTTCATACAGATGCATGGGAATTTTATACCAATTTTGTCGTTTGTCTTAAAATATTTTAACATGTTAACTTCAGCGTAAAACCATAGCTTACCTGCTGGAAGGGACTGTTCTAAAAACTTTTGATCTGCAAAATAGATTGCGAGTGGAAGGAGGATCAGGGTCCAATAGCCTGGGTTCTTTGTTCTGAAGAAAAATTCAGGCTCCATCTTTAAATTTTCGGAAACCGAATATCCGTTGGCACGACGTGGACCACCCCTATTATTTTCATTATTCCTCTCGAAAAGATAGTTGGGGGTGGTGTCCTCTCCTTGAACCGAATCGTCACTATTTAACGCAGTGAACATTACGAGTCGGACGGATACGGATGTATCCAATTCCAATGTGGACGGAGACAACACAAAGGAGACAACATCCGAGGATTTTCCAAGTTCGACTTGCCGAAATTTAAAGTCGTCCCTATATTATCAAAATTAAGCAAGTTTAGTGTACACTCATTTCGTTTTTTAATAAATTGTTATGAAATACCTGAATAATTCTTTTCGCCAATCAGGATTTAGTACAGAAGAATATTTTAAACAAAAAATGATATGCACTTGTCTTGTGAGAACAGAGAACTCCAAGCATTCAGTCACTAAATTTATCGTGCCATGTACTTTTTCATATGTTTTAATTTACTAGATCGAAATTATTTATTTATTTGACCAATAAACTTGATTTGATAAAAGATCACAGTAGGAATTTTAAACTCGAGGTACAAATTTCGTTGAATTCAACAAAGTTCACCATCCGGTGAAAATAACATTCCACAAGTTCTATCTTTCTCACGTCATATTATTTTTGGGCAAATAACACGTCTTCCCAGACTTCAATTTTAAGCTCACGTCACAACTGGGTCGCGTGAGACAAGAGTGAAAAGGGTTTCATTTTGAGATGCTTGTGCCATGCAAATTGACGACAACTAAAATTGCAAACAAATAATACAGGATGCTTTTGAAATTGTAAACGTTACAGACTTATTGGATAGCCAGTCAATTATTCGAATTTAGTGTAAGTATTCTGGGGAAGGGGAAGTTTTAAAAGTTGATGAATCCTGGGAGGAAGAGGACGACGAGGAAGAGGATAAAGAGCGGTGGGACGAAGATGGGGTACAAAATGGGGAGCGACGTCCCGATCGAGACCGTCCGGATGAATAGCAAGCCCACCCCCGCAATTTCTACCGCTTTTGGAATCGACTCCAAAAATGTTTGTGGAGTAAACTGTCTCGAATTCACTCCTTTTGAAGGTTTAGACACAGGCGTCATTTTAGTCCCATTTGGATGTGGGCCTTTGTTAGAAGATGCTGCGAAAACAATAAATAAGTTTTTGAGGACATATTTAATTTAATTAAAGTACCTCAATGCAAACTTTATGCGAATATGTAGCTTAAATTACTAAAAGTCATTTATTAAAACATTGGAAGCAATATTAATCTCATATCCAATGACGTTAAAGGATAAATTTTCCAAATTTTCCAAATTAATTTAACCCAAACCTGCATGTGGAAGAAAAACAGCATTCTTGAACCTCTCCACTTCTTTAATTGTTGATTGTCCAGCTGAAACTAGTAGTCCAAAAAATATAACCAGGACAGTAAATAGCACACAGAGAAGCCTAATTATCTTCATGACAAACTATTAATAACACCCTAAAACTGGAAAACTTTAAATATGTGTGACATCAAATGGTCCACTAGTTCTTTAGATGGTATACGTTCATTGAATAACTAAAGGTTAGTGGCTCCAAACAAGGTAAGACATCCGAAGTTTTGCTGTCATTGTGAACGTCATGAGAACAGATTTGACGAGAAAAGGGAGTGTCACCCGAATAATTGTCATGTATGCATGCGACACATGTTTTCCAAACGGGACCCAATAAACCAACATACATTTCATTATGAATAAGGTGCTAATTGATGAATGCGCAATTGCCAGTCTTGTCTAATCCTAAGAATTACTGAATGAAAGTCGCTAAGCACATTGACAGGAGACATTTGATTCCCATCAAATTTCATGTAACAGATAATAGTGCAGGGACCTGGGAAATGAATGCCTATATGTTTAACATAAATATGTGCATACTTTATTTTCATCATAAGATAACATACAATTGTTTAAGTTTACTGGGTATTTGATGCTACCAAATTTTACACCTTGTATTTTCGTCGGGCAATGGACAATTCCACGTTTCAGCAAATTCTATGAAAATAATTGTACACGAAATTAAACAAATATAAATAGTAGGCAATACTTTTGAGTATTTCTTTGGGAATAGAATACCTCTAGAATTTTGTAAAACACCTTGAACTCGGAATCGATTAGGCGAGTGCGCTCCTGTCAAAATTTGATTTTCCATTCCTAATGGGGTGTAACTTCCACACCAAATCTACCAAAAATTAAATTCATGGATTATTTATTTGTATATTTCGACCAATTTCATCAATTAATTTTCACTATTCTTATTTCTTTCACTTGAGCAAAGGCGATAAAAAATAATTGTTCAGGTGTGTAATCCAATCCTGGGAGACGAGGTTCTGTTCCATGCTGCCTTATAAATGCCTTATATGCATTGAATGATGTTGCAAGACTGTTATCAGCGATATTTTCTCCAAGTGTATTATTTCCATTTAACTGTGTACCTCAATACCATATTATTTACGGTTATTTCATAACATAAAGTTGTCGAAAATTTCAAGACAAAGTTATTCTAACAAATTCACTCACTTTCAGATTGTTGGCTTCTTCAGCCGTGTACTCACTATACTGATTTATGAAGCATTTTGTTCTTTCTACATAATGGTTGATAGTTCCTTCATCCCACCAATTTATTAAGTTACCATCACCATCGCTTTGTCTTCCTATATGCATTCAGGGTTTTTATACTAAAGCTTTTGTGTATGTTTTGGTATGCTATTTTTTTAGACGCTACCTCGGTCATCAAACCCGTGAGTTATTTCGTGTGCTATCACCATTCCAATAGCTCCATAATTTATAGCTCTGAAATTTATAGGAGGCTCAAAATATCACTGAAATGAATTCTAATATATGTACATATTTAAAATACTGGATTGGATTTCCCGTGAAATAGAATGGGGGTTGTAAAATGCCGGCTGGGAAACCTAGTGAAAGTTACAAATTACAAATGGTGGTACCCACCTAATAATACATGTGTACATACGTTTGGAAACGTTAGACTAGACTACTTACTGATTGAATTGTAGGTTGAAGAGTAAAATGCATTGACAACTGTAGGATCTGTGATCCAACTGAAATTAACAGCTTATAATTATAACTAACCTGTATACCATTCGTGAACTAGCTTACCGATTGGTATCTCGGTCATCTTTCAATCTTCTTAGTCCTTCCATATTTCTCCAGTATGAAATGTTTAAATAATTGTGAAAGTGATTGTTAGGTGAGCTAACTAACAGCTAAAAATGATAATCTTGAGTTGTATCAAACCATGCACATACAAATATGCACACAATTAAATAAACATAATAAATTCGCATACGCCTTTGTAATGGTGATCCAAAGCTGTTGAATTGTTTAGCAGCCAATCTGGATAGCCGACAAACTCTTTCATTTTTCTCGCTTTCTCCTTTGCCTTTTCTCTCGTGTCACTGCTACTGATCCATTCCACAGTGTCAATATTCTCGTACATGGCGTCTTGAATATTTCTAATCAGTTCGCCCATCTAATAAAAAATATTTTTGACTCGTCCTTCCAAGCAAGTGAGTAGATTAAATAATTAATAATTTATGTTGCATATTCGTTCACCTTTTGTTGAAAATCTTCACTGAGCACCTCTTGTACATAATTTCGACTTATTGCCATTCCGAAAAAAGAATTAGCCTTATCGGAACAAATTTTCCACCTAATGAGTAGTTTTAGTAAAATTTCAGTGACTACGTATATTCAATTGTGTTCAAGTTTTGATAAAAATTAGAAATTAATAGCTTACATTGGAGAAGGGTACATTGTGCCTTGAGTTTTTTTTGTAAAATCAAAAAACAGGTCCCTGAGTTTTCCACTCACATCATTTCCAAGTCCATAAATAAGCCGCCACCGTAAATAATTTACTATAAAATCAAACATTTTTTGTTCATATGGTCAATTAAAACATAATATATGACCAATTAACAGGTGACCAATTAACGGACGACTATGAAGACTGACTGACCTATGGTTTCTATATTAGTCTGACTCAATACATGACCAAACTCAGTAAAATACGAGATATCACGAACGACAAGGTTTAGGTCTGGAATTGGCCCCAAATCCAAGTCATGACTTTCAACAACATCCTTAAACATTTCTGTAACGTAAACTTCCCAATTGATGTGCTAAAACAATGATTAATTTTATGCAACGTCAATTATAAATTTTACGTTATAACCTATGAGTGATATATATGCATGTATACGTAGATACACAAATTAAGTATTGTTGTAAGTAAACTAACCGAGGAGGCATTGACTGTGTGTTCACCAAATTCTCGAATATTCATCAAGTTATAGAGTTCTGTACGGTTGCGTCTTTTTTCCGGTGGGGCAGTTACCTGATTATGTACATAAATATTTATGCTAACAAGTCAAGAAAATATGGTTGTGGAAATTAACAAATTAAAAAAATTCACCTCAGCAATTCTTGTTTCAAATTCCAAAATATCATCTGCAATCTTTGAGTAATTCGTCTCCGGTAAAGGGTACACAAGTGGCCAAGTTTGTTCAATTAAACTTCGATATGCTTGCCTAGTAGGATGCGGAGTGTTGACCAAAAATGCTCTGTTTATACCGAATGTTGGTTGATCAACCTTAAAGTAGGAAAAATTTCACATCACAGCCATGTCGTATAGTTAACATTAAATAAGTTAAAGATCAGTACAGGAATAAGTATACATATTATCTTAAAAAATCGCAGGGTTCTACGTAGTGCGACTTACATAAATAATATATTTTGAAGCATTTTCCTCGTCAAGTTCCACGTACATATTGGCGATAATTGGAGCTCCGATCCTTCGTCGCAGCTCTGCCAATTTTAGCCCTAGATCAACACGAGCGTCCTCAACCTTCAAAAATTCTTCAATCAAACTGTGCAGTTCAAGCTGGTCGGTTGTGTCTAAAATTGATAACCAACCATGGAATTTATTACGAATAAGCGATCAATTTGAATTTTGCATACTTTGTTCCATGCAACTCTTGTAAAATGTTTTTGCCAATTTAACAGGTTCTGGATCAATGTCATCAATATCACTTTCCAAGATACCTGATTAAGTATAAATATGTACGCATACTAATGTAAAAGTTGACATTTCTTAAATTATTTACTGTGAAACTACCTCTGACATCGCGACTTAATTGTTCTCGAAGAATGTTAAATTGGTTCCAGGACGAGGACGTGTCTGGAATTGGATTTTGTTTGACCCAGGCTCCACACGAAAATTGATAGAAATCAGTACATGGATTCATAACTAAGTCCATCCCTTGAATCATGTTGCCTGCAGCTCTCACGCATTCTGGATTTGTGCAATATTTTGGCTGAGAGTTTTGAAGATCTGTCAACTCGTCAGACTTGTCTGAAAAATATACATGACAAAATATGTAGATACGAAATAAGTATTTATTATGCAAAGTGCAGACATGTATCAAGTATTATGCATATTATATTATGACGACTATACTTTTCAATCGGACACCCAAAACGACGGTTGATACCAACAAGCCAATGGCTACAGCTCCAATTACCACAGCCACAATTATTAATAGTTTGACATTTTTTCCACTATAAAAATATAAAAATTAGAGCAAACTTAGTGTTTAATTCTTAACCTTGAAAGCATACAGAGAGTCCTTACATTCCTCCCATTATAAAAATTGGATGAAATTATAATCTTGCATCCACGAAAATATGAAACACAAATGCTCCCAGATTTCCTTGGTTCAAGCCCCTTATAAAACTTAATGAACTTGAAGATTCACTAATTGCCACCATATACTGAACACTGATAACGGTATATTGTTTGATCTGCATCAATAAAACTTCTGAGCGACTCCCTCGATTTACGGGATAGCTCTTCTTTTATAAAGGGTTGCATGTTTACACAAAATAACGCTTCATTATGTTTGACATGGACTTAAACTGTGGACAATGGGATTTCTACACTGATTTCTACACTACACTGATTGGACAACGACCAAATAGTAGCAAGCATATAACAAACACGCGATCAGAAATGGGGGATATGAACTGATCAGTAGCAAAACGTGGAACTGAGATGGGCCAAATTACTTTTACATACATGCATTGGGAATTACTAATGATGACAAAATCACATTTTTATTACATTTTTGCCGTATCAAAGAATAAAATGAACTTACAAAGTACGTGGTTTCAGCATTTTATTTTTTCGGATAATTATTTCGGGCTTAATATTATTAAATGTTACGAATAGCTCCTTTTAGATCTTGTAATTTTGTGTAGCTTCCTAACAAATATAACAAAAGCCTCAAGTTGTGCATAGTGGATGCAGTTTTATTTTTTAGGCATTGACAATAATTTTCAAATCAGCATTTATGAATGATATCGGAATGCTGCACAACCCCCACATCGTCGTGCTTCAACATAAAATATACTCTGCTTCACATCCTTAGGATTAATTCACAGTCATGCAAATAATTGATTGCTATTCTCATGTCATCATCAATTTGTCGATTTCAATCAAAACAAAATAAAATTCATTGACATCAGCATATCGTTTACTGACTCTAGTACTTCAGAACAATTACATAATTGCATACTCATATAAGTACAAGTACAAGTACAACAGAAATACAATGAACCCACAATAAGTGGGAAGATCTTTGACAGATTATTTTACTTACATGAGTTTGTGTTTGTACTTTATGTAGTTTATCTGTCATCTGGACAGAGATTAGAAATATAGTTGAGGTTTCACAGCTAAATTTATAATTTTACTCTTTGTTCCTGTATGTATTAAATAATGTCAGCAATTGCAGCAAATAAATTTCAAAAGACATTGTAATCTATATCGTCTAAAAAACTACGTGTACATTAAAAATATATTTACATGAATCATACAAATTCCGAAGTGGAACTATTTAGTTCATGAGTAAAATTATTTCAAGGACAAGGTTCATTTTTAGTTATTATTTAATGGATTGTATTAGTATGTAGTTAACTTCGCGTTTTCAGATTTGTAAAAAGACTTGTATCATAAGTATTTTGTAAAACGTAATGGAATGGTATGTAATTGAGATTCTCAATCTGAGAATTGGCTTCTGCTAATCTATTTTGCAGAGCTAGATTATTCAGCCGTAAACACTGTTTTATGTATTAACCTTGCTGTTGCTTAATTAAATACCAAACTTGGGATCATACTTTTACACTGGTTCTCATTCATTTGACCATCCAACCATATTGCGTGGATATCGAGGAAATCAAAATGAGTTATCTTATCATAATATTTTTATCTGTTCTTTTTTTCTTATTATTATTGCAACACCTGTCAAACAAACATGTAGATATGTATAACTAATTTCTGGACACGTAGCACATCCTATCCTAAAAATACAGCAAATGTTTAACTATTTCCGTGCGGAACTACATTAAAACATAGAAATGTGTGAAAGGACAATTGTAGTGGACAATGGGAGTGGTTCAATATATGCAGGTTTTGCGGAAGAAGAGGACCCAATTTCAACTTTTCAAAATTTTACGAGGATCAAAAAAGCAGGAGATCGCCAAACCCAGTATGGCGACTCTTGTGGAGATTTTTCTGACGCTGTGAAATACCGAAACTTCGTTGACGAAATAACGAATGGAAACGTTAAAATTAATTACCCCATGGAACGAGGAATCGTTGTTGATTGGGACGGGATGGAGGCAGTTTGGAGCCATACTTTCTCCAAAGTGTTGAACGCCAAGCCAGAAGAATGCAATCTGCTCATTACCGAAGCCACAATGAATCCGAAACCAAATCGAGAAAAAATGGCACAAACTCTTTTTGAAAAGTTTGGCTTTCCGGCAATATCCATAGAACAGGCAGGGATTCTACCACTTTATTCTGCCGGATTGACTACGGGCGTGGTTCTGGATTGTGGAGATGGCGTTGTCGAAACTGTACCTGTGTGGGGAGGTGCGCACCTTTTTTTAACTCACAACCAGTTGTCAATATATATTATTAAGCATATATTACAATTCATACTGATTAGCTGGTCTGCCTGTCTGGTTGTTATTATCATTATTATTTATTGTATTATTTCAAAAAGAAAGCCATTAACCAATGTGTGATGTTATCATTCAGGGTATCCAATTTCCGATGCTATTAAACGAGTCAATATCGGAGGTCGAGATATTTCTGAGCTTTTGGGGAAACTATTACAAGAAAAGGGCCACGCCTCCAAGCAGTTAGAAATACTCAGGTTCATCAAAGAAAACACTGCATATGTTTCCGAACGAAGTGGTGCTGGTCACCCGTCCACGTCTCGTGACATTTTTGAACTCCCAGACGGGGAAATCATTACAATTGAAGATGAAATAAGGCATCGTTGTTCTGAACTCTTGTTTAACCCATCCATGCTGGAAGAAAGCGACAAAATCGGAGTTCATGAAATGCTGTATAAATCCATCATGAAAACTAATATGGATATTCGAAAGGATCTTTATGGTTCGTATTTCTATGATCCTTATAGAATAACATCAATATGGTATCATGTTATATATACGTATGTATGTATACATCATATATTGACATATCATCTGTATGATATTTAAGGTAACATTGTCCTTAGTGGCGGATCAACATTATTTCCTGGATTTGTAGAAAGACTTTCCAAGGAAATTGCTTCCTTACTACCTCAGAAGGCCAAGCTAACGATAAGGGCTTCCCCCGACAGAAGATATGCCACCTGGAAGGGTGCGTCCGTTTTGGCCTCGCTCTCCAACTTTAGCAGGTTGTTGATATCTAAGCAAGAGTATGACGACGTAGGTCCAGTCATCATGCACAAACACAAATAAATAACAAATAACTACGAAAATACATATTTTTTGACTAAATAAAACCCACACAATGTTAAGCATTGTCATTCTCCCATCACTATCACCGAATACTAGACATATGTAATTGTAATTAGCTTTAAGACATGATGCTTATTGTAACGTGTCACGAGGTTAAAAATAGCATTGCATTTCTTTACATACATATGCATAGCTTGCAAGTCTTATGCAACCAGCGATTAGTAATGCATGTCGACGACAAAAACCCGAAAACCGAATTCCCGTGTGAGCTTCCGAGTATTGCCATACCGCAGCATCCAAAGAGTAAGCATCATGGTCTTCTACGCATACAACAGCGGCTGACAATAAGTCTTTTGTATAAGTTACCTTTTGGTTTTATATAGTTTAAAATTTTCTCCATTGCTTCCATTTTCTGCTGCTTAAAACGATATGGACGACAATTCGGAAACCTGTAAACTCTCGGATAGAGAAAAATCATTGTTGGATGATAACATCAGTCTAAAAGTAAGTACTACAACTTGTGCAACAAATATGTAAGTTGAATGCGCTTTTAATCGAATTCGAATATAATTAATTTCAGGCTCAACTCAAAGAGCTCGAGACCACGTTTAATAAAATGCAAGCTGATTTTACGCGTTCTATCAAATTGAGAGAGAGGTTAGACTCCTTGTGCAAAGTTCTCCAAAAGCAGACGCAGGATATCAAGGTAAATTAACTTGTGCATGTATAAATCATGTCATGTCCAATGATCTTTGAATTGTATTCAATGTTTCCACTGCATTCGGGTGCTTTTATAATTCTGCAGGACGAAAGTGCAGCTCAAATTGGAAAAGCTGAAGGACAAGGCAACAAATTGGCACGCGAAGTTTCGGATAACATGGAAATGATGGAAAACGTCAACAAGCAACTTAGTGACATTATGAACTCAAGCTTGAAGGTAAAAATACATCAATCAATCAATAATAAATAATTTCTTAATGTTCAATTTTTAAAGGCAAAGCAGCAAAATTTGGATTTGACTGGTCAAGTAGCAGAGCTCAAAAAGGAATATGACGACCGGCACGAGGTCACAACACTTGTTTTTATAATGAATTATATATAATAAAAATGTCTTTGTGTAATCCCATGCGTCGTAAAAATTTACAGACCATGACAAATGAATTGCAAGCAGCAAGCGATGCTCTGGTTAAAACTAAAATGGAAGGTATTTATAAATTAATTTTGAGTGCCATACATATATCCAACTCATATCAACATTATGGTCTTTATAAAAGTAATTCCAATCAGATCTTTTCGTGTACTAAATGCAAGTTGATTGAAATCAATGATATGAGTTCGATATATAACAAAATCCCCATGATATTACTTATATATGATGAGTCAGGGTTGAGATATAATTTTGTCGTTCAAAGTTGCTCAGTTGCGCTTAAAAAATGCACAAGACCGTGAAACGGCATACGCCGAAATGCACAAGTTGGCGAATACGATGGTCGACAACAAACAACAAATGAAAAATGCAAAAGATTTGGAATTGGAATTGAGACAAAGGCTTACGAGCTACGATGAAAAATTCACGGGTACGACTATTTGTAAAATATAACTCAAATATATGCAAATTACCTTTCCTATTATACGCTACAGCTTTACAAGCTTCGCTTGAACAAACAAATGTGGGATATACTGCATTCACTGGCGAAATGGAGAAGGTACATACATACGTATGCAATATTTAACATGACTTGATTTAGGTGTAATTATTGAATACAAAGTTAAAATAATTTAGCAATAATTTTGATTCAAATAAAATTATAATAGGTGTCAAAAAGGACGAAAGATCTTGATAAGGAAACACAGGACTGGCAAACAAAATGGGAAATTAACAATGCTGAACTAATGGGGATTACAAAGAATCATGAGGAATTACAAACCGAAGTTGGTAAAGTTCACGAAAATTTGATAAAAATGACGAATCTTTACGCCCAGTTGGAAAAGGAACGAAGTCAATTGATGACTAAATTGGGAAAGGAGCCACCTCCGTCGCACCCACTTCCACCACTGGAACCTCCTGCAAATCCTCGCCCCGCGCATTCAGATAATCCTCTGAATAATACTCCTTCTGTTTAACACTAACGTTTATGGCCAACTAATTAACAATATTAACAATAATGCTCATACTAATTTATTAGAAATTTTCATGAGAAAACGAATTATACCCGTAACCCTTTCAGAAACCAGAGGTATAGAAGTAAACAACAAATCGTGCCTATCCATTGGAACAATAATTTTATAACAAGAATTTATCAATGACTATCTTAGGTTATAACACTAATTGTTGAAATATTAATAAAGCTGTCATTTTGAACGCAGGGACTAGTAAGACTACATTATTGTTAATCATTGAGCGACAAATAAACTTAGAAATGTTTACATATTTATATATATGTATGGAATATGTAGCATCCCAATCAACTCTAAGACGGGTTTCGTGTATTTTCAGATGGGTTTGAAGAGACTACCTCATTAATTTGCAGTTCCAAAGTCTCCAACTATGTCCGATAAAAGAAATAAAATTATTAAAGAATCAAAAAGAACACAAGAGCATTAAATTGATAATTGGACTTACCCTCTTGCGCAATTTTTCTTTAACTTCTTGAGAAGCATGCTGTTGGAAATTTGGGTTCTCATATTGATGTTTTAATTTAGTCAACCTTACTTGCAATTTTAATATCTTATTATTTTCTCCTTCTAAATATTTTTCAGTAGCCTCTCCCTACAAACAAATAGTACAATTTATACAATTTACCCAAAAATAGATAAATAAACAAGACACAACAAGCATAATATTTTAAATAAACCTTTGGTGTTGATATCTTGCAAATTTGTCCATCCAGCTGAATAATAACTGTGATAAAGCTACTTCTCTCCAATGGTGGTAGACTTCCACAAGTTAATGTGCACCGAGCCAAATTTTCAATATGTGACTTCATTGAACTAATCTCAGGAACTTGGGATGGGGTTGCGTCAATATATATAAGTGGCCTCGAGTTTGCTTTCATCCCAATTCTTGTCTTTAATGAACGAATTTCTTTAACGACTTTGATGGTCTTCAATACAGCACGATTTAATTCAGCATTGTGAAAACTTTTTAATTCTTTTGATCTTGGAAATGGTTCATCAATGAGTTGCCCAGATTGAAAGAGACGAGACCACATTTCTTCAGTTACAAAGGGAATTAATGGATGACTTAGTTTCAGTCCTGTAGAAATTGCATATTCTAAAACTAGTAGATGTTGACTTTTATCTACTCCAGCCTTCAGGTCATTTTTAATTAATTCCTACAAAAAAATAGTCCACATAAAAAATTGCCATCTGTTACCAGGAAAGATAAAAATTAAGAGATAAAAGCTTATCTTACAATGTAAACGTCGCACAATTGTTGGTAGAAGAATTTTCTTATCGATTCAGCATAAAAGTGAAACTGCCCACTGTCTAAGTATTGTTCTACATCGGACATAAACTCATACAAACAAGATAGTAGCCACAGATCGGCTTTTGACGTAACACTCATTACATCAAATGACTTGAAATTTCCAGTTGTTTTTTCTACGTTTTCCCGATACAGAAGGAAAAATCGAAGAGCCTGCCATAGCTTGTTTGTAAAGTGACGACAATTCTCTAGGTAAACCATATCCAGGCCTAATTGTTGACCTTAAACAATACATTATGGAAAACATGGGTAGTTAAAGATGTACATAATAAAATAATAAAATGTACTTATAATATGCATACCTTGTATATTTTGGGATAACAATGCAAACCTTAAAGCATCTCTTCCAAAAGGTTTAAATCCTTGTGGATACTCACTGTCCATTGTTTCAATACGTAAATCATATTCGCTACGTTCAAGATCACCTTGTTCTAGAGATTGTTTGGCTTCTTCTAACAAATCCTTTGCCAAAATAGAATGTGAGTGTGTATAATAACTTATACTTTCTTAATTGGACTTATATAAGCTGTTATAAACGTACTAGGTAACAAATCCCATTAACAACATGTAAGGGGTCGATTACATTTCCTTTAGACTTTGACATTTTCCGTCCATATTTATCGCTGATAATTCCATGCAGAAGCACATGTTTAAATGGGAACTGATTCGTAAGCGCAAAACTTATGATCACCATTCTCCAAACCCAATACAAGAGAATATCCCGTCCAGTCTCCATTAGTGAGATTTCTTTAATTTCCTAAATACATAGTATACACAAACTCTTTAAACATATTTTATGTACTGTCAAATTGACAGTGTCAATTATGAAACCAACCAACCAACCTTAAAGTCAGGCCAACCAGACAATGCTACTGGTATTAAGGATGAGCTGAACCAAGTATCCAGTACATCAGAATCCTGGATAATGGTGGACTCATCATCTATGGTAATATTGTATTTTGCCTCAATCTTTTTCTTTGCCGACTACAAAAATGAGGAATATGTGGATTAAAAGTTAAGTAGAGCTAACGGCGTGTTATGGAATGTAAGTATGTATCAAACCTGTCGATCTAAGGCGACCACCCATCCTTCCGGATGATCAATAAAACGATACACAGGTATTTCGTGGCCCCAACTTATTTGACGAGAAAGGCACCAGTCCCTTTATGTAAAAATTGTACCAACAATAGAATGAATATTGTACTGTATACTCATGAAAACAATAGTGGAAGTAAAGAAATTGAAACTTACTGAGAATTGGACAGCGTGTTTAACAAATCTACACCATAATTTTTGGGAGAAATAATAAATTCTTCTGATTTGATTGAATCAATAAAAATTTTTGTGAGTTTCTCAGTCTTCAAAAACCAGTGAGGAAGGACCTTGGGCTCCACAACATCACCAGTTCGACTACAAATATTTATAACTCCGGCATATTCTTGGACGCTTTTAAGAGCCCATTTTTTGTCTAATGCTTCTAAAACAATACTTCGAGCACTAAGACGGGGAATACCCTAAAATATTAAAACGTTTGCATTAACGTACAACGAAGCATCCTATGGTTAGAATTTAATACCTTATAATTTCCAGCGAGGTCATTTAGAAACCCGTCTCCAGTGATCACATCTAACTTTGGCAAATTGTGCGATGCACCAATGGCAAAATCCAATTTATCGTGTGCTGGTGTAATTTTTACAACACCTATTTGATTACAACGCAATGAGTTAGAGCTATGAAACATTAACATAATGTAACGACATAATTTATTTATAAACCTGTTCCAAAACTTGTTTTTACTCGGGGATCTCCAATAATCGGCAACAATTTATCATTCACAGGGTTTATCGCATTTTTCCCAATGAGATTGGCAAAGCGTGAGTCTAAGGGATTGACAGCAAGAGCAACATCTCCAAAGAGTGTTTCCGGTCTTGATGTTGCCACAAGTACTGACTGATCTGTTACATTGGATGGAAAGGAGAGTGCGCATTAAAGATAATTCGTATCATAAGCGTTAAAAAATAAATTACGTGAAGATAAACTAAATACCTGAATTCTCTAACCCATATGCCAAATTGTACAGTACACCAAACTCCACAGGGTCATCGTGATTCGGGACTTTGAAAGTCATTTTCCCTTTAAAATCAACATGATCCACTTCCACATCAGAAATCGATGACTGAAGGCAGCAGGACCAATTTACGATACCATCACCTCTTTGGATAAGACCAGCTTCAAACAGTTTAAAAAATGCTTCCTTTACAACATTTGAATGACTCTGTGAATCATATCAGAGGTTAAATCATCTTCATGCAACACACGCAATTTAATTTAAGGATAGCGTAGATAGCGGTACAAAGTTTACCTCGTCCAAAGTGTAATATACTGACTCCCAATTTAAGAGGGCGCCCAAGCTAGCTAACTGTTTTTGAATACTGTCCAAATTTTTGGATGCAATGTCTTGAATCCTGTCTCTTAATAAATCGCCTGGGCCTAAGGTGCTGTTCTCTATTTTTAATTTCCTTAATGCGATTGTGTGAGTTGCAATCCCAGCATGGTCGAATCCTGGAATCCACTCTAACTTGTACCCTTGCATAGTTTTCCTAAAAAGTTAAACAATCGCACTCAATGAAAAATTCGCCATTAAACAATGAATCTCTTCAAGTCAAGACAAACCATCTAGCTATCGTATCCTGAATGGCAATGGTTAAAGCGTGGCCGAGATGTAATTTCCCAGTAACATTTGGTGGTGGGAGTATCATTCGAAACACTGGCGAATCTTTTCGATCCAACGAAGTTCTTTTGAGCCATTTATTGTTCCATGTTTCTTCAAATAAGGCTGGTTCATACGCCTTGGGAAACTCTGACTCTATCGTGGTGGCATTAGGTGGAGTCCCCTGGTTCCCACCACCATCTCCCACCGAGGTTGTTGTCGAATACTTGAATTCGGTTTGTCTGTGTCTGAAGATGAGATAACCCCCACGTCTACTCGTTTGAAACATTGATTTCATTGTTCAGCCTAATATCTGCAAGAATCTGTCAGTGTCACTTGACCCGCAACATCGATGTTTTATTTAAACTTGCAGCATATCTATGCCAATTTACGATACGATAGTGTCCTTACTTGAAAATTTCAAGTAAGGAAATTTCAAGTTGAAATTTGGGATTGGGCATTATAATTTTATTATTTTCTGTGGGATATTTTGCTAACTAGAACTTTGCAGTAATAACGCAGGCAGTAATAATTAATTGATTATTTTATACTTATCAGTCACATTGGAATTTTGTACGATTTAAATTTTTCAAAAGTTATTTTCATAAAAATATGCAAAATTTCTATTTAGACAACCGGCAGGCAGGAGTGTGAAGTGTGATTCGTTTCCCCGCAATATATAATCAGCTGTTCCTCAATAACAATAGGGTAGACTGATTGTACGTGTAGCAAATAATAATAATTTAATAAATTTTAGATTTAGTTGACAATAATTTTGTACAAGGTTTCGTTACTGATTAATAGACAAATATCTACATTTCCTGGCATGTTACCTCAAATCGATCATTCCACCGATTTCGAGACTTTTCCATAAAATGCAAAGCAACAGTATTATAATTATAGACTGGCGAAAGTGACGCAACGATGAGACACTTGACGTGCTAAAGAACTAGCCACAGCGTTTGTCTCACCATCAGTTTAGTACCTGCTGACGGTTGACCAACTATGACAAAACGGTATATTAGCTCGTACCTTCGCGTCCTTTTAACATTCCTTGCAGTGGGGGTTTGCTTGGTTGGTGCACTTGGAAGCTTTGATGGAACCTTAACGGTGGTCCACAAGCTCACAAAGAAAACAGTCATGACCATTCATAATATCAAGCAAAACTCCAACGATCCACTTATTAAGGTATTAAAGGAATAATTGATACATATACTAGTGGGCATTAGCGGTGCATTTATTTTACTTCTATCTAATACGTATTTGCATGTTGACAGGCCAGTATATTCGTCCCATCGCCACTTGACGCCTGTTCGGTACTTAACCATTTACCAGACACCACGGGTTTGCACTTTCTCACTGCAGATCCTGTGAACATGCGGCTCTCAGCATTGCTAGTCCAAGACGGAAATTGTGATATCGAACATAAGTTGATGAATGCCCAGAATGCTGGCTATACTGGCGTTATCTTGTCCACTGAAAACGTTTTTTATCCGGATATCAATGCAAATGCTGAATATAGTTCTAACACCCCCAGCGTTTTTTTGGCTTTAGTTTCCCTATCCGAGGGGCAACTACTGCAAAAATTTGCTAAGAATTCGTAAGTAATGCTGTTACTTTATGCTTTAAAATTAATGATTTAAAATTAATTGTAATCACTAATGTTCTATTTTAGATATATTTTTCAATTTCACCGTGAACCATTCCTATCGGAGCAACTTTATGATATCGCTGCGAAAATTGTGCAACTCATGTTTGATTCAGCAATCAATTTATGGAGTTTTTGTGCACAAATCATATCCTACAACTTGAGTGGTATCATTAGAACAATTTTGTTATATTCCTTACAAATAGCTTTGCTATTACTTCCACTGGCGTTTCTTTCCTTGTTCGTGGTGGAAAAGGTACGCACGTGGATACTGTATTTGACCAGAACAACATGTTAACAATATTTAAAAACAAATTTACAATCTTTAAAAGGAGGATGTACCATCACCGTATGCAGAAGAGTACACATTTTTCTCTTGGGATAATGCTAGAGAACGAAGATATAAACGCTGGGAAAATGTTAATCACGATGAAATGAATAGCAGCGATGACGAAGTGTCTTTGCAGCGGTATCGAGATATGCTAGGCGTTCCTGTGGGTGCTACAAGACGAGATATTGAGACTGAATTCAGACGTAAATCTTTCGAGTTTCACCCTGGTAAGTAAACTGAACTTATGACAGCGATGCAAGGGATAATTAATATGTAGACAAAATTATTCTTGCAGACAAAAACATGCATTTGTCTGTGGATGATCGAGATCGAAAAGCAAAACAATTCAAAGAGCTGTATGCTGCGAAGACTGCATTGTTAAACGTCCTGGAACATTAGCTCATATAATTTTTCATTTGTTTACTAATTTAACGTCGTTTTGTTCACGTATTAATTTAATAAAGGACCCCTCTCATTCTTTTAATTGTTACAATTGTCATCTGTAAGCAACCATGCATTTTTTTAAAGAAATATTACGTGGTTTGGATTGACACTGGTGGGGATTGAATTACTTGTATAGAATATATTTATTTCAAAAATCGCTATATAATTGAATCGACCTTCACCTCGTACCCACAATTTGCATCGAGAATGCAACGTCAGTGAAACAGCAGAAATCAAACGTTAACCAGTGCAGCCAGAAAATTTTGCACAATATGCAGTGTCATTAGCTCAGTAAGTAGAGCAAAGATCTTCTGTACATACATATTGCATGGGAAGCTATTTTTACATTACGTCTACGTTTCTGGATACTCATAAACTAAATAGGACGCAGTATGTATGTATATAGGGGCTGCTTACAAATAAAAGATGAGGATTTTTAAATGCATATATACATACACATATACGTGTATGTATGTATACGAAAATAGAAAGCTAAGAAAGCCTTTTTATGCTAAAATACTTATTATATAATCGTTAATAAACATTTTATCAATCTCTTTAAAAATCAGTATGGTAGTTTTTTTAATGTATTTGAATATCGCCATCTTTCATTTGTCCGCAGCCTCTACGTTCGTATGCATATGTTCTTAAAAGTGTTGAGAAAATATTCGAAGCTCGATTTCCATTTATGACGATTTGGCAAACTTTCAACCTTAGACAGACATGTTTTCATTAGTAGCACACATTCATGCACAACACTCGGTCGTTTAAAAGAAAAGCGAGAAAGTGTTCCCCATTTGTCAGCAGTTTAAATAAACAGTGCCATTAAATATGATTGAGGTCAGGCTTGAAACAACTAAATAAGTAGTTTAATAATATTTTTCGGATTCTCTGAATAAAAATAAGTTTATAGGATAACTTTCGTACTAATTCAGACATAGGGAGGGAAACTGCCAAGTAACAATTATGGCAGTCAGGAGAACAAACTGTTACGAACAAGCACTAGCTTGCGACCAGTTTGATAAATTTTGCAATGAGAACAATCTCAAAGATATTTTGGTGCATTACCAAAGCCTATGCCGTACCTGCTCTCTGACCCCCACAAATTTTCCAGAATTTTTTGATAAAATTAAGGTGAGCTTAATTAATAAATACTTGCAAATTAAAATAACGCATATTTGTCATATTAGTCACAAGTACCTTCCTGGAGAGCAAGTGAACTTTGGGCGAAATTAGAAAAACGTGCATGCCATCCAACGTATGGTAAAGGAAAATTCTGTGCTGCAACAAGAGTAAGTTTGAATTTTAATTAAAATTTCTGAAATTTTCTCAAGGCAAAATTCAATTTAAATTATGTTTCAAACAGTTCATATCAAGTTTTCTTAAGACTATTCATACATATGCTATTCACTTATACGCAGGTTCTCATAATTGGTGGAGGTCCATGCGGTCTTCGTAGCGCAATTGAAGCACAACTTCTTGGTGCAAAAACCGTGTTAGTTGAGAAACGAACCAACTACACAAGAAACAACGTACTACACTTGTGGCCATTCGCAATATCAGATTTGCGCAATCTGGGAGCAAAGCTATTTTATGGAAAATTTTGTGCAGGTTCTATTGACCACATAAGTATTCGACAACTCCAATGTATACTATTAAAAATTGCCTTGCTGCTTGGAGTTGAGATACACTTTGGCGTTGCCTTTGAGAAGCTGTTAGAGCCGCAATGTGAAAATGATATCGGGTGGAAAGCGTCAGTATCGCCTAAAGATCATCCAGTGTCTCATTTCCACTTTGACGTCTTGATCGGAGCCGATGGACGGCGAAGTACCGTCCCGGGATTTAAGAGAAAGGCACATCGTGCAAAACTAGCCCTTGCCATCACTGTCAACTTTGTTCATAATCATACTCAGGCTGAAGGTAAGTACATTAACTGTAGCTATTAATCCCAAGTTTAAATTATGGAATACTCAAATCATCGGAATGACGTTTACCACAAAATTTTGAACCCTTTCTACGCATGGCTTTTGTACATAATGCATATGTATGTGTATGTACATAAGTCGCTTTTTGCGTATTGTTACCTTTCCTTTCATTGTGATTCATATTTATGTATGTACAGGGTGGTTAAAATGTCACGCTACAATGGAAAATTTTTCAATGGGAAAGACCCCCTAAATCTCCATTAGTTACAAGATTTTGGATTGAGATTTTTATAATTATTTTCAAAACTGATGGAAAACTGATGACGAAATTCGTAAATTATTGAATTTTAGAGAGAAAATTTCGGTAACTAATAGAAATTTACGAATTTTTCCCATCGAAAAATTTTCCATTGTGGCGTGACATTTTAACCACCCTGTATTTCGATGAGTTTATTCACAGATGCGTTTGGATTTGAATTTATTCGCACATAATTTTACATGTGAATATTGATTTATTTTATTTTAGCTAAGGTTCAAGAAATTAGTGGCGTTAACTACATTTTCAAGCAACAATTTTTTCAAGAACTTGACCAAGCCATGGGCATAGCTTTGGAAAACATTGTGTACTATAAAAATGAAACTCATTACTTCGTAATGACCCCAACCAAGCAAAGTTTGCTAGAAAAAGGTGTCCTTTTCCAGGTACGTATTTTGAATGGAACAATGATACAGCGAAAGTGCATTGAGCTTTACTCAATTTTCCTCATTATGTAATGCATAATTTAATGAACGCCTTTACAGCATTTTTAACTATTTCTTAGAACTGATTTCTTTTTTCCACATTCCTTTTTTCACAGGATTTTTCTGATCCTGAGCAGCTACTTTCTCCAGAAAATATCGACCTAGAGGCCCTACAGCTTTTCACAATGCAAGCTGTTGTATTTGCAACAAATAATCAACTTCCTAACCTCCAATTTGCCACCAACTCTCGAGGAGGACCTGACGTTGCGTTATTTGACTTTACTACAATGTATGCATCGGAAACTTCGTGCAGAGCAATAGAGCGGAAAGGTGGCAATAAATTGCTAGTCGCACTTGTTGGAGATTCTTTACTGGAGGTGAGAGGAGTACAAAATCATTGTGTATATTGATTGGTCATACATATATTGAAGCCTTCTTTGTCTTTATGTAGCCCTTCTGGCCTTTAGGTAATCCAACAAAGACATATGCTCACTTAAAAATCGAATCATTAAAACTCAAATCATTTCAACATGCCCCCATAACGTACTGTCTTCCACCTTAGGTCTTGGGATTTCAAGGGGTTTCCTGGCCTCGTATGACGCTGCATGGATGATTCGTAGCTGGGGCAAAGGCAGGGCTTCGGTTTGCGAAGTCCTCGCTGAACGAGAGTCAATTTATCGCATGTTGCCTCAAACGACTCACGAGAACTTGAATAAAGATTATGATAAATATTCCATTGATCCCAGTTCTCGATACACGAAAATTAACTTCAACTCGGTCGGAGCACGCCAAGTGAGAAATTTATTTGACTCGGATGAAGACGTAAAGGATATTTTTCTATCTATTCGGGACTCGAGAAAATGTCGCAAAGGTAAATTTGAACTTCTCCATACGATAGATGAGACGACTGTCTGTCTGTCTGCAAACGTCGCGAGTATGATATTTTTGGGGAAATTGAGACGTTTCTTGTATAACTTTCTGTTCCTCTCTAGTTTCAGAAACTGTGATTTCATTCTGGTTCAAAGAGCAACTGTCAAAGTTGGGAATCACTATCCACTCATTATTGGATATATTTACCAACGGTGATGCCTTATTAGCAATTATTCAACTATACCGAAGCGATCTAGTCGACTACTACACTCTGCATCAAGCAAATCAGAAGGATAATAATTTAATTTGGAAAAATAATGAATGCGCTTTCGATATTTTAAGAGATGAGTACAACATTCCTACAGTAAGTAATAAGTTGTAATAAATAATAGACTATTGTTCTAAATGTGAGATGCATGGCTGTCTTTGTTCCAGATAATTGATGGTGAAAGTTCCATGAATGTGACTGAAGCACATTTACCGCAACTGGTTCAATATTTGTCTCAAGTTTACAATGCGTTTAGTGGAGAAATTCCAAAACCTACAGAATTCAAACAGGTGGATACATATCTACATACGTATTTATATACAAAGTTTTATTAGTATAAACTAAATAAACTCATCAGAAGATCCTCATTTGCTTGCATCATTTAAATACTTAGGAATTTGTCAAGGAAGCGTCTCCCCCCCAGCCCAACAATTCTACTTTCCACCACACTCTCTCAATTAAGCAATTCCTCGATGCAAAGGATCAACTAGAAAAGAAGAAAGTTTTAGATGAAGCAAAATTCAAACAACGCTCACAACTGTACGAGTCGATGATGCAAGCAGAAAAGCAAAATAATTATAATCAAGATGCTGATGAAGAAAGGTCAACGTGCAGACCTGCAAGCATTCCCACGCTAAAATTAAATCCTGCAGTTGCTGCAGCAGACCTATTTTCAGCCTGTAGAAATGGGAGCAATCGTGAAAAATCATCAAACCCTAAAATCCCTTCAGATACAATGTCCATGATTAAATTGGCACGTTCAAGGTCTGACGTGGGGTACAGTAAAAATGGCGGATTTGGAAATTCGTCACAGATTCAACCTTCATCATCATCCACTTTCCAACAGAGGCCAAAAAATAAGCGCTCAGAGTTGGAGGAGGTGCAGTTGAGAATAAGAAAATCGAAGACAACCCCGTTTGGTGAAATTGTCAGTACAACATTTCTTCTGGGGAAGCATATTAATCAAAACTCAGGTTGTTTAAGTAATGAAGAGTCTGATGAGAATCCATTATCATGCGAACGAAGAAGGCTCTTAAGGCGGACAAGGTCGAGAAGTGCGTATCAGAATCTTAATGATCAGGCGCAGGCCACGACGTATTACAATGATGGAGATGAAGAAGACGAAGATCAAGAGAATGTGGACGAAGGGCGGCGGAGCACTAATCCTTTTTTTAACAACCATGAACAAGATCCCGGCTTTTCAGAACGATGCAAATTTTTGGAGAAAAGTCTTTACAACTCGGTACGTAAGAATATGAATATGACTTTGTGGAATTCCGGTGTGGAGCATAAATTTGTAATGAAATGACTTACTTAATGCCATCATTTTAGCGTCTAGTATCACGTGACCTATTTAACTTTTGACATTTTTTAATATTTGAAGGGAAGAGAAATCAAAGTGCACATTGGGGCGGCGTGGTCCCAAAAAGGCAACTCGGACTCTACCAAGAAGAAAAACAATCCCTGTCCTCCTCCTGGTACAGCTATTCCTCTGAAAAAATCTCAGAGTTCCGGCTTGACTACCGGATTTGATCCATTAAGTTCCTTTAAAAGAGGAAGCTCCTTTAATGTGAGGAATAAGATGGCGGTGGTGGAGGAATCCTTGAGCAGCAGTAGAGAGGAGGAGGAGGAGGATGAGAGAGTTGGGGTCGACAAAGGAGAAAAGGAGTCTAATCCTAAGGCTTTATTCCTGGAGAGGAGGCTGACTGAGATGAGAGCAACCCATCCAGAATGGAGGTCAGATGAAAAAATCCCGTCAGCACAACACAAAAATGACCACAACTCCCATCACCATCACTTTCACTCCAGCCAGCAACGCCGGCAACAGAGTGGAACCGCTGCCGCCGCCGCTGCTGTTCGCAACCCGGACCTAGAAAGAGGGCCCGGCAACATGAGAGAAAAGTCGCAAAGGGAGGGAAAAAAATCCAGCGGCACTTCTTCTGCAGTTGACAGTGATTTAGATTGTTTCTTGAACGCCATCGACTTTGAACGTATTGATGGCCAAGATCTGCAGGAACTTTTGTCATCCTATTAAATGAAGAACTATATTACAAAACCATCACACTCTTTTAGCGAATATGAGCAATCAAGGCAACTCGCCGCACTTTCTACTTACTTAGTTATAGTTTCTTAATAAAACTTTAACACAATAATAAAACACACGGTCTAAGGTTGTTATTTTATGGTCATTTGGAATAGAAAAAAATATATAAATGGCATTTACATGTACATATCCACATATATTTAGGAAGGCAAGTACCATCACTGTTGAGTTGATCTGTTCCGTTCCATAGATATTTTCCAGCAAGAGTCAAAGTCCAATTATAACTGCTATTTGCCTAGAATGAGGAGAAAAGAGAGAAATTGTGGAATTGTCATTCTCTGTCATCTCATCTGCATGTCGAAGGCGGCTTGAACATAAAGGGTGAGTTGTCCCTCGACATTTTTATTCCCTTCTGTATGATGACGTCCCTGCAGACTTCAAACTTCTAGGAAAACACAAAGACAAATTGCTCTCACGTTTTCACGTTGAGGTTTCCCACCTATCTATCTGCACTCCTGAATTGCATGAATCTTCTTGCTTTTAAGGGAGTGAATGAGAGTATAAGAGCTTTCACTCCTGGCTAAAGAAAGGGAAAATTTTAGCAAGTTTACTTTCTCCTTTGAAGTGCTTCTTCACAAGAAGAGGTGGATGATGCTCTTAAAATACCCATTGTTATGCTATGCAGCGTCTTTCGAAACTATCAAAGTTTTGACATGGCATCGTCTTTGGCTCCAACACCACCACCACCACCAAACTCGCAGTTAAGTACACACAGGGAAATTCATGGTAAGCCTACCGAGTAAAATGGTAAAATACTATTAACCGTTCCTTCCTTCCTATATATATTTATATATTATGCATACTGTATCTGCATTTTTAGATGTGCGTCCCCTATAAATATTTGTGAGTACTTCCATCTCATATTCGTAGAATCACTTCCGCTTTTGACTTTTGACCACATCTAAAATTTTATCATCAACATCATCAGACAAATCGAGGTCTAATTTCATCGACCTCTAGATATTGACCAGGTTGCCTTGCATTTAAAAACGTTTCATTATTACAAGACCTACCAATAATTACGGCAATTTTCAATAATAATCTCATTCTGTAGTCTGACGTTCAGAATGTATTGGAATTAAAAAAAGAATTGGAGCGTTCCATGACTCTCTGTCACATTGATATGCAGTCGACTGATCAGACGAGTGACAAATTTCCCAGAGAGATTTTTCATCGACACCATATATTACCATATACTGACTGATATAACCATAACCATCCCTATAAAAGTGTGTGCTACGCGTATCTGCAGTGGAAGGAAATTCGTTTTGGAATAATTTTCATGTTGCTGTGAGAGATTGGAGGGTGGTGACATTCTGTCACCACCATTCTGAAAAGGAGGAACTCCTTATTGATGATTCTCTCAAAATTGAGGACGATTTTTTTCATCCATTTCCAATCTAATGTTGATATCTCTCCTCAACCATTAATAATGTTTAAATAATTGGAATTCTCATTTTTTGTATTAAAAGTTGGAAATGTTGTAGAAGTTGAATGAGACAATCTAAAATCCAAATTCTACTTTTCGCCGGACTACGATAACCGTTGGAGAAAGTTGCCAATTAATTTGGAAATTAGGAAGAAGCCAAGATTTGATTGAAGGGGTTACATATATTTTTGGATGTCCGTGTGGGCTGATGATACTTGATGTCAAGTTCAGTGGTAGAAGTCAGTCATAGGCTGAGGAATAGATTGGAATTGGGGAGAACCACTCACCTCACCTTTCTCTCTCCCATCAAGAAATGTGAGATCTCGCTGGTTGCATCATCCATAGAGATACAGTTCTCAGCCTGTGTTCTCCCTTCTCGTTGGCTGGTCAGAGCACTGCTTGGTAATGTAATGCGAGTATGAATAATGCATTGGGCAAAGTGAAGAGAAGCCGGTTTCGGTTTTTGGTCCATCCAGTTGGTCGACATATTACTTTCTTACGATTACGACCCACCGGTGACTGTTCTGATGAAAGCCACAACTTTCCAACCATCCCCAGTCACTTTTATGAAACAAACGTCCGTGGTACGTACATCCGAGGAGAAGAGATCCCAAGTTCCTTTTAGGATAAACCAGCAGACAGACATTATTCGTTGTCCAATTTCTCTGATATTGGCAGTTTCGGCTTTATCCCATCAAATATATAATATCCAGTCAACCTCTCGAACTCTGCTGAATCCTTTTATTTTACTCTCAACGAAGAATTAATTTAATGTGCTCACAACGAGCGAGATTATCATAAACACTTGTCTGTGTAGGTAGTGGTCATATATGTATGCAGTGATCACCGCTAAATATTTATAAGTAAAACAGGATCCGTAAACCATACATTGGGTAACAATTGATCGATTTTTATAAAAATGCAACATTTTTTAGTTAGAAAAATAATCTTCATTCCTTTTCTCACTGCAGATTCATATATATTTGTAATCAACTTGAGAAGGTATAAGTATAGTTTTGCATATGGACAAGGAGTCGAGTATCTGGGTACACAACCCTGTCGACTGTTTATTTAAGAACCTCTCTCCTCTTGCATTCTGTCCGTCAATCCATTAAAAGTCAAAATGAGTCCGCATTCCTCGCACGTTGTTCTACGGATCACTTTCTAATAAAGCCAATAAGAAGCCAAGATGAGGAATGAAGGGGAGAGAGAGGATTTACGGCCTACCCTTCTCAACGGTCACCATTTGCCCAAGCCTCGCTCGTCTCTCTGCTCACTGGTCATCCCCGGATTTTCTTTGCGGGCATCCCTAATGTAATGTAATGTGGTAAGTAGTACTTAGTTTTCCAAGTGGCAGTATAGTGGTAAAATGTTGTATATGTATTCTACGTGTAGGACTCCTCAGGTCTTCAAAACGACGACAGACAGGAGGAACCTGACAGTCTAGGAGAAAGCAGATGGACTTTCCAAGTTGTTGTGAAGAATGAAGCACAATCTGATTTTGTGTGTCTACTTTCTGGTCTTGTTGAAGTGTGCACACACGTTTCTTCTTCTTCATGGGAGGAGGAGGAGGCAGAGAGAGGGAGGGAAAGTCTCAAAGTGGTACTTTTTTGGCATCCTGACATCACATCACCCAATAAGCAACCCATCCTGCTGTTGGAAGACACTAGTTTCGATAAAGAAACGGCGTATTTGGGGAGATTAGGAACGTGTAAGAGTAATCTAATCTAACTTTTATTTTTCGCTAAGAACAGGATTTCGTATTGAACTTTCCAAAGTAAACTCATCTTCAAGGAAATAAATGAGCTCTCTGCAGCTTCTCGTGCTCAATATTACTTTTATATATACAGGACAGCAAAGAAATGCAGAAACTCGCTTATTTTCACTGGCTTTTCCCCTGCCAGAGAAGCTGAGCTGGGATGGTTGGTTGGAAATGTTGAGACTTTTGACCATTTCCCCATTATCTTAAGCAAGAGTTGGAAGCAGGAATTAAGTATGTTCATAATGGCGACGAATGCCAAACCTGATGATTATCTCTGGTTCTCAGTGTTACGATTTCATTGATTTTCCGCCTTGCAATCCACACGGCAGTTAGGTGCCGATCGTCAATTTGGTCCAAGATGGGCTTAATATTTGATTCCCATTAAAGTTTAAATGGGCTAATCGCTCCTTGGCGTCCTTTTATTACTATTTGACCTCTCATTAAGCCACCCTTTATGAGAATAGAGTCTTCAATTTCTGTTAAGAATGGCCCATTATGCGTTTCTGAAGTTAACCACGGTACGCAGGAACTTCCCTAAAAATTCTCCGCTGATCATCATCTGCAAATATCTTACAAATATACATACGTACGTGGAAAATGAAAATTGCAAGCCAAGAAAGGTCTGTTCAGTCAGAGTTCTTAATTACAAGTTAGCCACCAAGCGTAACAAACTTGATCCTAAAATTTATCTATGGCACTATGTGCAAAATAAGTATTACACAAATTTATAATAAATAAATTCTTTCAAAAAAGCTTAGGTGAGGCTTGATGAAAAGGAGAAAACAAGCTGTTATCATCGTGTACTAAAATAATGTGGTGCATCAGTGTTCATCCTAGGATTTATAATTTTCGGTAAATATCCCAACAAATAATATGCATTAGGGACCATTTGCCTCACCGTGGGCCGTTGTCAATTGTTTAATAGATATATACCTTTTTGATGCTCAAATATTGGTATGAAAAATTTACAATAATTAAACTTCGACACTATTAAATTATAATGCTGTCTTCTATGACTAGCATGAATATATCTATTTCAAAAATTTATTTATGTAGGCCTAAATTTTTAAAATTCAGTGTTCAGATGTGGATCATATTTATGTAAGAAGTTTGATCATTAATCGATTATAGATAACGATATTCGATAACTCTTACGCAATGATCAGAACAAATTACTCAAAATTAGGAACGCACAGCAATATATTAAATAAGCAACCAAATTGGATTACTCAACTCCAATCACCAAGTTTTCTTTTTCGAAAATCCTGGTGCGTAACTTTATTTAGCGTGAGATTTGACTTTATTTCTAAATATTTTTTTGCATTACATCGTTAACTTGTTAATAGCAACCCATCATTTTCATTGGTATGTACATGTATAAGCTACCTATCCAACTTCATAAATCCCCAAAACTGTGGAACTTCGTAAATCCAGTATCATCTCGTACATATTTTCACAGTGGTGAACATTGACAAAATATATAATTTAATTACATTCTTTGTACCATTAAACGGCCCACGGTGAGGCAAATGGTCCCTAATGCATATTATTTGTTGGGATATTTATCGAAAATGATAAATCCTAGGATGAACACTGATGCACCACATTATTTTAGTACACGATGACAACAGCTTGTTTTCTCCTTTTCATCAAGCCTCACCTAAGCTTTTTTGAAAGAATTTATTTATTTTTTTGTTTTTAAGCCTACAAATAAGAGTCCCTCCCAAATTAACTATCCCCTAGGGTGTAGATGTGTTGCATTGCATACCAAATTAATTATAACCTGTGGGTGCGGATGCGTCGCATATTAGATTACTTCCCCTATATGTAAGCGTGAATGCAAACTTTAGTACTGAGCTATTACATTCTTAAAAATCCGGTGT